TCGCCCACCCCCTGAAATTCTTTGTCAGGTCAGTAAACAGTGTTTAAGGCGGTCTGGGTTGTTTCGCACCCACAGTCCCGGGCTGTTGTAAATGCCTCCCTTGGTCTTTGAGTCTCTAAACTCCCCAGTGTCCCTTCAGTGCTAGCAAGGTCCCAGGGTTTACAGCAGGTGCTGAACATTATCCTCTCAGATCCAGCAAATGCTGATTGCGGTCCCGGGGGCTGGCACAGCTCACAGCTCCGGGGTACTGTTCCCACATGCCCGGGGTGCCTTGGCCCTGTCCACCCCGGGAGGGTGCACGTGGGGCCAACCCTGCTGTGGCCAGACTTGATTCAGCCACTGGGATACCTCGGTGAATACGTCAGTCAACACGTCCTGGCCACGCCCGGCTGGTGTGCTCAGTGGTTGAGCATGGCCCCCAGTGTGGGGCCTGCGGGAGGCAGCCAATCGATGATTCTCTCTCATCATTGATGCTTCTCTCCCCCTCTCCCTCTCCCTCTCCCTCTCTCTCTCCCTCTCCCTTCCTCTCTGAAATAAAAAATATATATATTTTTAAAAATATAGGTGCATTTAAAACATTTTATCTCTCTTTTCACTCATCTACCCAGATTTGTTCTTTATTAGCTCTGTCCGCTTAGGGAAACTATGGAAGCTGTGTCTGCGTGCCCTCATTTGCCAAGGGGGCAATGATTTTACAAAGCTCTCAGGAGCATTATGAGTACTCTGCGCCTGGAGAAGAAAGAACACCCAGTGAATACCGGGCACTGTTATGCCAACATCCTATATGCCAGTCTGCGGTCTGCTCTAGAGCTGAGTGCCTCCTTGTTAGTGTTTATCTAACATGCTCCCGCAGACAGTCCATTATATTCACAACACACGGAGCTTAGTTACGTGTCTCCTTAATTCTAACCGTACTGTGAGCGCACACAGAGATGGGTGGTTTGGGCCGTGACACCGGTTCATTCTCGTCCCCTTTTCTGCAGGAACGTCTCGGGAACAAAGGAACTTCCTGCAGCTGGAAATACCTGGCTTCCCAGCCAGGCGCGTCCTCAGCGGCTGCACCAGCTCACGGCGCTGTCACGGAATGAGCTCAGCCTGTGCTGGGGGGGGCCTGGGGGAGACCAACAGCCCAGTGTGTCTCCCCAGACGCCCAGGAAGCGACCTGACACCCCCGCCCCCACCCCCTGCATTGTGTGCGATAAGGATCGTGTCACTGCACTTGAACTTCCATGAGGGACGACCCAGGAGAGTGCGCAGGCCACAGGTTCACAGGGGACGGGGCGCTCAGGGGCTGTGTTCGGGGTCACCTGCCCTGGGAACCAGCCAGCTCCCCTGAGACGGCTCAGAAGGCTCTGGAACCCTCGAAGGCGGGTCACCACTACTTCCAGAGTAAATTCCTCAGCGTAGTAAAAGGATAATGGATAAAACCAGGACCAGGGTGTGCTAAAGCCTCATAGTCCCAACGTAAAAACGTGCCTATACATTCACACACACCTGGCTGTGCACAGCTGGAATTGGACTTCACAGACAGCGGGGCAGGAGCTCAGAATGACCAGGGCTGTGAGCGAGGGCCGGGAGGAATGAAGGGCTGAGAGGAGCCGTGGGGCTCAGCAAAGAGTGAGTGAGCAGAGCAACCCCCAGCAGCAGCTTCCCAACAGGCCGGGAAGGAATCAAATCAAGCTGTGCATGTGTGTGTGCGTGCATGCATGTGAGTGTGTCTGAGCAGATGTGCATGTGTGCGCAGGTGAGTGTGCGTGCATGAATGTATATGCATGCAAGCAAGTGTGTCTGAGCACATGTGCATGTGAGTGTGTGTCCGTGCACGTGTGCATGCATGTGTGTCTGTTTGTGTGTGTGCATGTGTGTGTGTTATGGATACAAGGTCTAAAGACAAGGACTTACAGTTACTACAGGAATCTGCTTTCTGAATCTGAGTGAACTTGACCGCTACAGAGGGAAAGCTGATGCCCAAGCAGCCCCTCCCACACCTGCTCCGCCCCTGAGGTCTGCGAACTGTCATCCTCAGGAGTGGGAGGGATCAGCGCCACTGTCCACACACACACACACACACACACACACACACACACACACACACACGGGCAGTTCCGGACGCCCGGTCTCATGCAGGTCCCGGCGCCTGGGTGGCTGACGGCGCTCATTCTCGCCGCGGCCACCGGCCCTGCAGGGGGAGCACCGGGGCCTGGACTTGGGTGTGTGCCCTTGACAGTGGCTTGGAGGCAGGAAGGACTGGTGTGCTGAGGGCAGAAGCAGCCAGGGCACTGGAGCCCGTGACCACGGGGAAGGGGGAACAGGAGATGGAGCAGCCAGAGGAGACCAGGTCGTGCCGCAGGCTTCGGCACTTATTCCTACTGTGGTGGGCAGCCTCAGGGGGAAGCTGCGGGCTGTGGGCTCAGGTGTCTGGGGGGAGGGCCGACAGGACTGGCCCTGGATGCCACATGGGGGAGGGGAGAGGAAGAGGAGCCTCGGTGGCTGGTGCAGGAATCAGACAGCTGCTCCTCTGCAGCCCAGTGCGCTCTGCGTCTCTATCAGGCCCTAGAGCAGACGTGACAGGCGTCTGCAGCTCAGGACAGAACAGGGATGGGGCCGCGACATCGGCGTCAGCAAGTGTGTGTCCCTACATTCCAAGGCCACACTACACAACCACAACACCTTTGTGTCTTTAGCATCCTAGGGTCTATGGTTCTCAAAGGGTAAGGAGAGACTTGTTAGAGATATTCTCTCTCTCCCTCTCTCTCTCTCTGTCTCTCTGTCTCTCTCTCTCTCTGTCTCTCTGTCTCTCTCTCTCTCATCTCATGTCTTCTGTTCTCTCCCCCCCACCCCCACCCCAAATGATGGCAGTGATTGCTCTCATGGGCCCTGGTGTCCACCCAGACTGCTCTGACCTCGTCCCTCCCCGAGGCTCCGGCGTCAGGGACTGCTCTTCCGCGGCCTCTTCACCTCCACCCCAGAGACCTGGCTCAGGATTCGCCTCCACCACGGCCCCTCCAGAGACCCGCTGCCCTCTCCAGTGGCCACTTCATCTCGCCCCCGGCACAGGCAGCCATGCTCCACAATGTGAACTCCCTGGACGCTAAGTGTCCCTGTGACTGCTTTTCTAGAGCATCCGACAGACGCTCACGCAGGAAAGAAGGCCATGAATGACAGCTCTCAGGCGACAGGCCCACAGCAGCCCGTTTATCACTGCGAAGACCCTGGCTGGGAAGCTCCCTGAGGGAGTCCTCTGCGGCCCCAGCGGGTGAGGGTCCCTCAGGACTCCTGTCCACCAGGGGGCAGCAACTCCGGCGGAGTGGACCCAGGGCTCTTCTGCCTAAAGACAACCTTCAGAATCATCTGAGTTTATTTTCATAGTTACCAGGGAAAACGGGCCCTGCAGTGGGGCATATATTTCCAGATCCATGAAGGTAGCTGTATATAAACGGGTCCATGGTTTGTAAATGTGATCTTTACACAGCACTACAAGCACTGAGGGCACACTGGGGGGGAAATAAAAGATGCCAGATGCACTAGAGAAAGTGCCTTTGTAACTGTGGGTGGATGCGTAAGGACTCTTCTCACACCAGCAGGGACGGCTGATTTAGAATGAAACCAGTAGACAAAGCCTTGACGAAGGAGACAATTTCGGGAACTCGTCTACTGCTAGAAATGCCCCGGGCAGCATCAGCTACTGAACGGTTAAAACTCAACAGAGAGCAGCTTACAGACAAAGAACTGGAGATAAATCTACCTATTATCTATCTATCATCTATCATCAATCTATCTATCTATATCTATCATCTATCTATCATCTATCATCTATCTATTATCTATCTGTCTGTCTATCTATCTGTCATCTTCTATTAAGTGCCAAAACTGGTATTATGAATTTGCTATGGACTATGTAGAGAAAATGTTCTCTCCAGATTTTCAGAAAATAGCGCTATCCATTCCATCAATTAGCAACCTGAGAGTTATCAACTCGCAAAGAAAAACCCTCCATTTAAAGATGCTTGAGGCCTCCTCATCAGTAAATAGTCGTGACCCCACCGGAACAAGCAGTTGCCGTCCGATATTAAATGTACTTCGTGTCTTTATTGAAACAACGAAGAAGAGAGCGCTCTTACCAGCTGCCTTTTGGGTTGACGAACTGCTGCACCGCGTAGCCAAACTGGGCGTCGGCGGGCCCGGAGAAGACCCTCGCGTCCTGGAGGCCCACGTTGTACGCCACACAGCAGCGAAGGACGCCTAGCAAGGAGAACAAGGACAGGCCATGTACACGCTGTGAAAACCACCTATCCTCTAACTCCCCGTGGCCACTTCAGAAACAGCTCGCTTCACATCCTCCTCCTCCTCAGGTTGCCAAGAAACAGTAGCTCCTGCCTTAGGCACTGACTTGGAGAGTTACCAGCTCTCAAAGAATAGAAAGTACTGCACCAGGCTTAGCATTTCATATTCGTGATTCATTATCTCATACATCTTCACCAGCAGCCCCGGGAGACGGCTGCTGGTAGCACCGCTGTTTTCCAGGGGCCTCGGATGCTCCGGGGATAAGGAGTCGCACAGGTGGAGGTGATGAGAGCGGAGAGGGTTCGAGCACAGGACTCCCTGCACAGGAACGTGGCCTCGACCCGCAGGTCCCCTGCAGGGATTTCCGAGTGACTCCAGCCCTTAGGCCTCCCCCCGGCAGGGCTGAGGCGTCTCCTATTTCTGCTGAATCTCCCTGCGATCCTGACACGGAGTCTATGGAATGTCTACTGAAACGCGCAGCTGACACATCGAAGAAGCAGAAAAACCACAGCTCCTGGAAAACCGTGTCATTCCTTCCAGGAGGAGGTCCTTACTGAGGAAATGCAGAGGGAACTGTCGGGTGGTTTTGCTTTGGAGACTTCTTTCTGACACTCAAGGAGCGATCATCGCTTTCAAAAACAAGAAAGGCCAGGAAGGAAGAAGCCTCGATAGATTTGAAAACACCTGGTTTCCAATGGAAAGGGGACGAGGGGAGAGAGAGTGGTAGATTCTGTGCCAACAGCATTAATGTCAGCTGCCCTCCATCCTGTCCTCCACCCTGTCCTTCGCCCTGTTGAGAGAGACACATCCATTGGTTGCCCGAGCCCTGACCAAGGCAAGAGCCTGCAACCCAGGTACGTGCCCTTGACCAGAACCAAATCCGGGACCCTACAGTCCGCAGGCCGACGCTGTCCACTGGGCCACACCAGCGAGGGCAACACTCCTTTAAGCTGAAAAAAACCCTCCTACTGGGCAAGACCAAAGTGGATCACAGTGCGAAGAACCGCCTGCCCCGGCACGTCCGCCCTGCAGGAGCCACTGCTCTCCTGCGGGAGCCTGCCCAGGCGCCCACCTCCCTGCGCTCGGACCACGCACAGCACCCTGTCGGCCCGGTGCCCCAGGGATGGGCGGGAGGAAGACCTCTCCGCTTTGTGACTTACTCTTGGCATCACTGTGCACTCCTGAGGCCGCAGAGCCCTCCCTGAGAAATGCTAAAAGGCGCAGCCCTGTCCCCTCCAACGCCCCACCACCCGGGGCAGATTCCACAGAAGCTCCAGAGGAGAGGACGCGGTCTCGCAGCCCTTTGCTGAGTCATCCCCAGTACGGCACCACGAGAGCCTAAGAACAGTATCAGCCCGGACCCCCAGGAAGCCACAGCCGCAGGAAGTGGGGTTACTCAGGCCCTGAAACTGAGAAAACTGCCTGCAGACTCTGCAGTCAGTTCATCCTCCCGATGTGGGGGGGGGGGGGGGGTGCGGGGGGGGGGGGGGGGGGCAGTGGGACGCAGCCATGGTCCGTTATATCGATCGCACCCAGACCGCAGGAACCCATCGTCAGTGCGCGGTCTCCACGAGAGAATGAAAAAGATAAAGCAGAAGTCGTGTGGAACCGCCCCTCCTCTCAAAATAAAGCAACCACTTCAAAAGTGCAGGCTACTGGGGAAGGACCGCGATGAGAGGGACCTGGGCCAGATGCCTGGGTACGGCTTCAGGGCTTTAAGGAAGGGCAGAACCACTCACACAGAACAGTCCTCACAGCCCCCCAGGACCAGTGGTGGGGCATTCCCGTGTTCCGTCCTAGCCTATGTAACACAAGGCTAATATGCAAATTGTCCCCTTAACTGGGAGTTCGACCAGGGGACGGGGCCAACCAAGACCACAGCCCCTCCCCCCAGCTGGCCCAATCGGGCAGCCGGACCCCACCTGTGCATGAATTCGTGCACCGGGCCTCTAGTCAAGAAATAAAGAACAGTGTGATTCTTCTTGAAAGGTCTTTGTTTTGCCTGTCAATCTTTTTTAATTTTTATTTTTAAAAATATATATTTTACTGATTTTTTAAAAGATATTTTTATTAATTTCTGAGAGGTAGGGAGAGGGAGAGATAGAAACATCAATAATGAGAGATATCAGCTGCCTCCTGCGCGTCCCACATGGGGACCAAGCCCCCCACCCAGGCAGGTGCCCTGACCGGGAACTGAACCATGACCTCTTGGTTCATCGGCCGACACTCAACCACTGAGCCACGCTGGTCGGGCAAAAGGTAGACATTTTTAAATGGTAACATAAAAAATGTATGCTGAGCAATAGAAAGAATAAGAATTAAATTAAACACGAAGCACCATTTTACATCCCTCAAACCACGAATAGTAAAAAAAAACAAACCAAAATAACTACAAAAAGTGAATTAAAATCTCTCATTGGTGAGCAAGGTACACACACCACTGATGAGACACGGAGCACCCTGCAACCAGGGCTGGAGGTGCTGCGTCTGGGACCAGGGGTGCCCTCCAGAAAGTGGCCGAAGGGAAGAGTGGAGGATATTTATAGCTGTATGCACAGCAGGGACAAAACCCACAGGAAGCAGCCTACATATCCGCCAGGAGACAATAGCTAACCCCACAGGACGGGCAACATAAAGTCCAAGCCGGAGCCTGAGGCCGCAGGAAACGCACCCGCGAAAGATAGCAAATGAGGGCGAGTTATTTTCATGTAAATGGTGAGTCTGTCCATGAAAAAGCACATTTACACTTAAAAATAGCAAAGGAAAGATATGTAAATGTTTCCTATTAAGATGACTATGAAGCATGTGTCATTCTTTTCTAGAAAAATATTAAAACTTCCTGCTTTATAAAGAGTGAAATTATTATAAACTGAAATCATTAATCAAGTTTAGTGTTTCGTGACCACCC